CCCCTGAAGACTAAGAACATGTTTTCTCTCTATTCTGTAATGATCCCACCCCCACAGAGTTATACTGCTAAATGTTGGTGCCACCTTTCTTCAAAGCATTTATCAATAATCAAAACATTTTAACTAGCTAGATCTTAGAATACAGATTTTTAGAAGTAGGAGACAATGTTAGAGGTTACCAACTCCATCACCTTCCTTTTCTTTTTAAAGCTCACATTTATTTAGGATCTATTACATGCCAGATACTATGCTAATCTCTTTATGTGAATTATCTCAGTCTTCACAAAAACTGATACGGTAGAAACTCTAAATATCTCCGTTTTTGTGTGCATACCAAAACCCTCCTTACACCTTTTCACAATAAAGTACATATAAATGAAGGAATAGTAATAGCTTAACATAGGCTGAGAACTAGAATAAGATAGGAGAGGCACCAGGGAAGCAAAATTTAAGGAGGCTTGCTCTTTCAGAGTTGTAAAGCACCTCCTTAAATTTGAACCTCTACATACCTCTCTTGCCTCACCCTCGTCTCAGCCCTAGCCAAACCTTATTGTATGTCAGGTACTGCTCTAAGCATATTTATGTAGTTAATGTAACAGTCTTATGAGATAAGTAGTATTATCCTCATTTACAAATGAGGAAATGGAGATGAAGTAATAATATGCCTAAGGTCTCACGGCTAGTAAGTAATAGGGATGGAATTCAAATCCAAGCATCCTGGTTGGAGATAGATAATTAAATGAATACTTGAAAGAAGGAATGGATGAATATTTTTTAAATTTTTTTTAATGTTTATATTTATTTTTGAGACAGAGAGAGCACGCGTGCATGAGCGGGGGAGGGGCAGAGAGAGAGGGAGACAGAATCCGAAGCAGGCTGTCAGCACAGAGCCCCACGCTGGACTCGAACTCGTCAACCATGAGATCATACGTGAGCCAAAGTCAGACGTTCAACCGACTGAGTCACCCAGGCACCCCAGGAATGGATGACTATTAAGGCCACACTGAAAGTTTTAGGCAGAACTGAACCCAGAATCCTGATTTTCTGACTCTCAATCTAGTACAGTTCCCCCATACCTCTAAATATTAAACTTTCTTTGATGGCTTATCAAATTAAATGTGAGCAATTGTTGATTTTTCTCCAATTGAACAATTTTTTTTAAAGCAGGTGATAAAGATATTTGAATCAAGCACATGTAAAAGGTACCTGTCTATAATTTCTAACATTAATAGACATTTTTTTCTCCAAATTATTTAATCTCCATAGGTGGGTCAAAGTCAAATTTCCAAACTATTAGAAAAATTATGAACTATAACTATATGCTACCAGACTGCTCATTTTCTGCCAAAAATTGTAGATCTGAGTATCTTCTCAGATCCTTTCCTGGACCACTTTCTAGGTTGTTTCTCTGGTTCTGGTAATACTTTAGTGGATTCCATAACCCAGAACAATGGAGATTATCTTCATAAAAAGATCTAATACTTCACAGAATGTTAAGTTGTTGCTTTATCTTCCATAGAATATTTTTTCTCTGTCTTAAAGCCTTCTTCTCTTAGTAAGACCATCCCTCCCTTGATTTTGTTACCTTGGTAATTCTCACATTGCAGGAAGTTCCCTGATGATGAAGTTTATAATACTTGCTTCTCAACAAAAATCAGTGAGTCAGGTAAATACTACCATTTTGGTTACCATTGATATTAGCTTAGTTTTTTAATTTCTTAATCTTCAACTCTTAGAAATGAATTTCATAGACAAATCACCTATGTCTAGCTGCCTATGGACTAATTCCCCTTAAATTAAAGATCCGTCTATAATCTAATCAGGCTACAGAGGTAAGGATCCATAGTAGGGGCAGAGACCCATAAAAGAGATATTGGCAGTTTAGGGAAGCTTCATATAAATGGAACAGATTGGAAAGTGAAATAAATAAGCAGAACAAGGAATTTTTTTTATACTTTGATATGTATTTCAGAAACAATTTGGAATAGGGTAGTCTCTGTGAATTAATTAGAAATAAATTGGTTTTTAAAACTACTCAGTGAGTGTTATCCTCTAAATAAAGAACTAGAACAGTGGGAAAACTTGGAAAAATCAGGAAAATGTCATCAGGAAAATGTTGAAGAAGACTTCAGTAGCAGCAACTGTCATGAATGAGTTAGAACATGTGACCTGCCAGTCACTATTAACACCTAGATATGAACATATAAGACTGACTTCAGTCCCTAAAAGTACATCCAAGAAGTTCATGGACACACTTGATAATATTTCACAGTTGGAATGTCAACCATTTTATTTGAATGCATTTATGTCGGTTTCATGTCCTTTTAGAATAAAAGTTTCTGAAGACACTGCTTTGCTATTTAAGATTTGCCTTATGCAGCATCTAACCCCACACATCAATCCAGGCAATAAATAAATAGAACACTATAAAGTGTTGGGAAATAGAAATATTTTTATTTTTCATATTTATTTTTAAATTCATTTCTCCATTTCAGGGAAAAAATAATATAAGCCTGCATAGTAAAATGGAACCGGGCACCTGGGTGGCTCAGTTGATTAAGCATCCAACTTTGGCTGAGGTCATGATCTCCTGGTTTGTGAGTTTGAGCCCCACATCAGGTCCACACTGAAAATGCCTGAGATTCTCTCTCGCCCTCTCTCTTCCCTGCTTGTATGCACTCATTCTCTCTGTCTCAAAATAAATAAACTTAAAAAGAAATGGAACTGCTATAGATTTTGGAGCTAGACAGGACTGGGGTTTTTTTAATGTATTTTTGAGAGAGAGAGAGAGAAAGAGCGCATGGGCAGTTTGGGGGGGGGGGGCGGGAGGGACAGAGAAAGGGGGACAGAGGATCCAAATTGGGCTCTGCACTAACAGCAGCGAGCCCGATGTGGGACTCAAACTCACTAACTGTGAGATCATGACCTGAGCCGAGGTTGGATGCTCAACCAACTGAGCCACCCAGATGCCCCTAGACAGGACTGATTGTGAACAGTGCTTTAACCTGAATGATCTCATCTTATAAATTTTTATGAGGATTAACCATAGACTATGTAAAGAACGTACAATGTCAGCACTTGTTAATACGTGTAAAGTAACTTTTAATATTTCATCATGTGTATTTATGGAGGAGAATCACAGTATAGAAACTACAACAGACTGATATATCTAAATGCAAATGTGGCCAACATAGACAAATCAAATATTGAGGAATTCTGTATCAATCAGGGTAGGCTAAATTAATGAATGAAAAACCTGGCAGTGTCTCAGCTTCATTTACTCAGGGACTAGGGCTGACAAAGATACTACCTTCTAACAGCTACCCCTTCTGCAACATGCAGACTCCTCAGTCACTAGCAGGGTAGGAAGGCACTAGAGGGTATCAACTGCTAAGCATATATCAGTATTAGAAATGATATGTATTAGTTTTACCCACAACCAATTGCAAAAGGTAGTCAACATGGCCCCATCTAATTGCAAGGTCTTAGAGCAATGTAATCCTTTCATATGATTCAAGGAGAATCAGACATGGTGAACACTAGAAGACCCTACCAAAAGCATTTCCTTAGTTCAGAAGACTATCAAAAAGGAACCATATAATTGAGTTTATAATAAGGCTTTGTTTTTTAAGAAATGCATTTTATCTTCATGGTGACTTAGCATGCTATTTGGTCATTTTGGGTGTGGGGAAAAACCTTACAAATAATCATTGCTGGAGTTTCCCTGAGTGTACCAAAATAAAAGAAGTTGCCACCGAGAAAGGAATTTTGTACAACAAAGTGTTAAATGAAATACTACCAGACAAAAAAAGGTAATACTCTTTTGCTGTCTAGCACCACACAAGATGCTAACTAAAAGAGTAAATAAAAACATTCAACATGCATTTAGCTTTCATAATTTACCTTCTGCAAGGTTGATTTAGAGTATGCAGAATATGCCACATTATTTAAGCTGTAAAAAGGAGCTGCTTTACACTACCTGCCATGTACAATTATAATAATCTGTCAGACAAATATAATTACAGAGTGTGATGTCTGTTTGAGTGTGAAGGCTTTGATTGTGTGGTATTGTCTGCTCTACACTGTGGCACAGCATAAACAATTGTACTCTATGGTAACTCTCAGCCAGGACTGATGCTCGCATCAGGAACGCCCCATCAAACAGCACAGATGGTTGAGTTTGGGCTGGATGTTTGTTTGTTTTTTCCCCAAACACTTTTCCAAGGCAAACTTGACCACAGTAAGCCTTCTGCAGTACAATGTGATAGGTCTCCAAGAAATTGGTAATAAAAGTGAGCAGGAATTGGAGACCAAGGCAGGATATGGTCAATTAACAAGTACCAAACATTTTAATGATAAAAAGTAGGTTGTGAAAGGAATGCAAGGGTCACTTTAATGATTAAAAAACATAGGTGACACTCCATGGGTTTAAAAGATTAAGTTGATATTTTATAGAATAAATTGTTATTGTAATTTATTACTAGACTCTCACACCAGCTGACAAAATAGAAAAGTGTCTTTAATAATAGTATTAAAGAAATTGGAATGGGGCAACTGGGTGGCTCAGTCGGTTGAGCATCCGACTTTGGCTCAGGTCATGATCTCACAGGTTGGTGAGTTCCAGCTCCACATTGGGCTCTGTGCTGACAGGTTGGAGCCTGGAGTCTGCTTCAGATTCTGTGTCTCCCTCTCTCTGCCCCTTGAACTCTCTCTCTCTCTCTCTCTCTCTCTCTCTCTCTCTCTGTGAAAAGTAAATAAACATTAAAAAAAGAAGAAGAAGAAATTGGAGGTATGTTAGGCTTTAAATTAATTGTTTCCTTGCCATACCATGTATGCAGGTTGGATCAGGCTATTTTTTTCTTCCAAATTTTTATTTAAATTTTAATTGGTTATATAGTGTAATTTTGATTTCAGTAGAATTTAGTGATTCATCACTTACATGTAACAGCCAATGCTCATCATAACAAGTGGGATCAGGGTATTTTTAATTTATTTTTCAGTTGATGATCTCATCACTGTGTCTGTGACTTTCAAACCAGAGATTCTGCTGTGGGACTTCTCTCTCGACAAGGTATACCTTTTGCTCTTTAAAATGAGACTTGCCTGGAAGGGATTTAAGAGGTATTCACTTAGCAAATTCTGCTCTGTTATAATTCGTATGGTAAAGAAATTTTATATTATAATCCAAAACACTACACCTGGGGGCGCCTGGGTGGCGCAGTCGGTTAAGCGTCCGGCTTCACCCAGGTCACGATCTCGCGGTCCGTGAGTTCGAGCCCTGCGTCGGGCTCTGGGCTGATGGCTCAGAGCCTGGAGCCTGTTTCCGATTCTGCGTCTCCCTCTCTCTCTCTGCCCCTCCCCTGTTCATGCTCTGTCTCTCTCTGTCCCAAAAATAAATAAACGTTGAAAAAAAAAAAATTCAAAACACTACACCTGAATAAATGGTCAGCCCAAAGTAACAATCTCGATTTAGCACCTTGTTTTCTTTTAAATTAAAAATATATAATGTTCTGATTATATCTGAACCAGCTCAGAAAGATCAAACAGCTTTTCATTAACAACACAACTTTCTCTTATCTCTGAAAGAACACTAATATTCTGTCTCTTCCAACCATCTCTCTTCCAACTAATCCAGAGAGTAGTTCTTATACAGCTGATACCTTTATGCTAGAGATGTGAGTTTTCTGGATGAATTCACCATTGAGAAGAAATAGTATTTTTATGATGTTTCAGTGTTTCCGTCTTCCATTGTAGGTTCCAAGGACAATAGCAAATCTACCACAATATAACCACAGAATCATGAAATCTTTGCATTGGAAAGACCTCTACCTAAATAGAAATTATTACTTCATTCTTTAGACTTTAATGTACCCCGTGTAGCTTTCTCTTATGGTTATTAAAAGGATAATATGCCTACTTATATTGGTCTACAGATTCCTTAAGACCAGAAATTATTCTTTACTCCTCTTTGTCTCCCTAATGCTTAAAATAGGGCCTAGGGTAGCACGAATAGCTGAATTGATAGATGGATAGAAAAAAGAAAAAAATACTATATTGCAATAATGGATATTTGTTGGACCATCTCCAGTATCTACTCCCTCCCTTCCTTTCCAACAGTCCCAATTTCTGTTTGAAGATTCAAGTCATTTCAGAGAGGCTCTTATTATCTCCAACTCCAGGAGTAGAATATGTAATCTAGGTTAAACCAATTAGCACATTCCATCCATCTAACAAGTTTTTGGCTCTGCCTTGAGCACATGACCTAACTAAAGATTTTCATTCAGAGTGAATCTCAGAATTATTTCTGGGAAGGAAGAGACAAAGATGCCTTTTGCTGGATGCAAATGTGGAGGCATGCAGCCCTGGAGCTGATGGCAGCCACCTCAGGAGCATGAGGGCAAGTCTTAGAATAGAACCAACATTAAGAAAGGTATATGGAAGAGACAGAAAGAAACTGGAAGCCTCATTTGAACCTAATCTTATTTCTGGACTTTTCAACTACAAAAAAAGAAACAAAGAGGAAAGAAAATTCCCTTCTTTTTCATGTTAGCTTAGGTCAGATTTTCTGTTTCTTACAACACAAAGCATCCTGATTCAATTGTAAATAATGCCATTGAACAGATGTGAGCTGAACAAGCACTATGTACTTCAGAAATATTGGCAAGCCCTAATGCAAACCATTCCACAAACAAACCACAAACCAAAAGTGATGAACACTCCTAATTTCCATTTCCCACTGAAAGAAATCAAGACTTCCTGAAGAAATGGTTAATTCCAGGTCTTGTGTAGGAAAGGTACAAGTTGAGACTGGGATATCTAGTTATGTCAAAAGGCAAGAAAGTTCTCAGAAGCTACTATGCTAAGCCAATTTGAAAAGGTCCCTATTAGCCAAAAGTGGGACAGCTTGAGCATCAAATAATAATAATCAGTATTACCATTATTATCATATATAAAATGAAATATAATAATATATTAACAGTACAATAATTTATAGCTATTATATTATTATAGTTAATTATTATTAATTATTGTTATAGATTTAAACTGATCACATATGTTAAAATCAATGCATTCATTGTGGTACTAAAGGAAATAAACCTCAATGATCAGAGAGAGTATTAGGAGACCACCTAAATAAAGAGAAACAAATATTTAATTTGACTTTCTTGTAAGAACTATGCCTCAGGGAAAAATAATAGTTGTTAAAGAAAAGTCTCTCACTATAGATATTTTCTAGCAAAGAAATGAAGAAAACTCCATGTTGCAAACCCTTAATGCAATAATAGATCTAGGCAATAAGATCAGTTGATGCTTACATCCCAAAAAATAAAAACCACACATTATGTGTTTCTTGATGGAAATACACTATACCACTTATGAAGTATTCTTGTCAAATAATCAAACCTGAATCATATCAAGCCTCTTAGTCTAACTACTATTCCACAGGAAATAAAAAAGAGATGCAATCAACAAAATCCAAAATGTGGGAAGCTCTACAGAAAAAATGACCAAATTTTTATAAATAAATTGCAAGGAAAAACAGAGGTATAACTTACAGATTAAAAGATTCTTGGCGCACCTGGGTGGCTCAGTCAGTTTCTTCTGATTCTTGATTTCAGCCCAGGTCATGATCTCAGTCTGTGGGTTCGAGCCCTGCATCAGACTCTGCACTGACAGTGTGGAGCCTGCTTGGGATTCTCTCTCCCTCTATCTCTGTCTCTCCCTAATTTGCACACACACTCTGTCTCTCAAAAATAAATAAAAAATTGTTTAAATAAAAAAATAAAAGATTCTTAAGAGACATAACAATCATTTGGTAATGTGCAGATCTTGCTGACATTCTGGTTTGAACAAACCAATCATAAAAAATAGGAGACAGATTATTTGTTTTTCAGGTGTGGAGTTTGGTGAGTTCTTTATAGATTTTGGATATTAGCCCTTTGTCTGATATGTCATTTGCAAATATCTTTTCCCATTCAGTCGGTTGCCTTTTAGTTTTGTTGATTGTTTCCTTTGCAGTGCAGAAGATTTTTATCTTCATGAGGCCCCAATAGTTCATTTTTGCTTTTAATTCCCTTGCCTTTGGAGATGTGTCAAATAAGAAATTGCTGCGGCTGAGGTCAGAGAGGTTTTTTCCTGCCTTCTCCTCTGGCGTTTTGATGGTTTCCTGTCAAATAATCCAGTGAAGAAATGGGCACATGACATGAATGAACACTTCTCTAAAGAAGACATCCAGATGGCCAACAGGCACATGAAAAGATGCTCAATGTCACTCCTCATCAGGGAAATACAAATCAAACCACACTGAGATATCACCTCACACCAGTCAGAGTGTCTAAAATGAACAAATCAGGAGACTATAGATGCTGGAGAGGATGTGGAGAAACGGGAACCCTCTTGCACTATTGGTGGGAATGCAAACTGGTGCAGCCACTCTGGAAAACAGTGTGGAGGTTCTTAAAAAAATTAAAAATAGATCTACCCTATGACCCAGCAATAGCACTGCTAGGAATTTACCCAAGGGATACAGGAGTGCTGATGCATAGGGGCCCTTGTACCCCAATGTTTATAGCAGCACTCTCAACAATAGCCAAATTATGGAAAGAGCCTAAATGTCCATCAACTGATGAATGGATAAAGAAGTTGTGGTTTATATACACAATGGAATACTACTTGGCAAGGAGAAAGAATGAAATATGGCCATTTGTAGCAACGTGAGTGGAACTGGAAGGTATTACGCTAAGTGAAATAAGTCATACAGAGAAAGACAAATACCATATGTTTTCACTCTTATGTAGATCCTGAGAAACTTAACAGAAGACCATGGTGGAGGGGAAGGGAGGAAAAAGGTTACAGAGAGGGAAGGAGGCAAACCGTAAGAGACTCTTAAAAACTGAGAATAAACTGAGGGTTGATGGGGCGTGGGAGGGAGGGGAAAGTGGGTGATGGGCATTGAGGAGGGCACCTGTTGGGATGAGCACTGGGTGTTGTGTGGAAATCAATTTGACAATAAATTTCATATTTAAAAAAATAGGAGACAGAAACATTGGGATGCGGACTGGATATTTGATGATAGTAAGGAATTATTATTTTTATTGGGATGATAATGTTATCATTTTTGTGATTTTTTTAAATTTCTTATCTTTTATTCATACAGAAATAGTTATGGTATCTTTAATACAACAGTAATAGAGGAGAGGGGAAGTAAAGGTAAAACAAGATTGACCATGAGTTCATTGTTGAAGTTGAGCAATAGGTATATGAGGGTTCATTATACTATTCCTTCTAATCTTGGGTAATATTTAAGATTTTCCACAATAAACTTTTAAAGTATATCGTTCCATTATCATTCAAAATCATATACACATGCCATCCTTTCTTGCTTTCACATAAACAGACTGTCATTCTTCAATCATGTTTTAATTTCTCTGTGTTTTAATTTACCCACATACCTACCATAGTCTGTGATATCTGCATACTTTCTTCCCAGACAGTGGGCATTATCCCATACATGCACACTCATCCCCATGGAGGAATTATAAGAAACCCATCACTCTCCAAGCTCATGCACAAAGCCTTCATTTTTATAGACATGATTTTCTTCCATTCATTTCCTTATACCTCTATTCTACTTTAATGGCACCGTTCATTCCAATTCCCATACCCCCCTTTAAAAATGAACCATACCCCCTAACTCATCCAGAAAGACCTATAGCCAGCACTAGGTTGAAAATTTCCAACATCTAGGGGCGCCTGGGTGGCGCAGTCGGTTAGGCGTCCGACTTCAGCCAGGTCACGATCTCGCGGTCCGTGAGTTCGAGCCCCGCGTCAGGCTCTGGGCTGATGGCTCAGAGCCTGGAGCCTGTTTCCGATTCTGTGTCTCCCTCTCTCTCTGCCCCTCCCCCATTCATGCTCTGTCTCTCTCTGTCCCAAAAATAAATAAATGTTGGGGAAAAAAAATTTAAAAAAAAAAAAAAAAAAGAAAATTTCCAACATCTACATTTCTGTGAGCCTCTATACATAATCTGGCTCAGTGTAAACCTCTTAAGTGAAATGCTCTCCTGGAAATAA